CCCCCCCCCCCCCCCCCCCCCCCCGCGCAGACAGATATAGACGTGCCCTTGATTGCTCACCTCCTCTCGAGCATCTGCAGATGCAGGTGTTCTTTCCTGGGGGGTATTTGCAGATGTTTCAGCAGCTGGTTCTGTATCCACCTCCGAAGGCATCCTTTGCCATTACAGGGCTCTCAACCCCCCCCCCGCACGCAAAATAAACCCCAGGGGCAACGGGATTTCAAAGTTCCTTCTCCCAGCAAAACAATGGGGTTACTGCCCCTGGAAGGAAGCTTTGGCACCGCAGGCGTCTCCCCATCTTCAGAGCAGTTCTCTGGTCCTGCAGGAGCTACAGGATCTCCCTGTCTGGTCCCCACCGCCGCACTTCACACCCCAGAGGCAAGAGGAGGGCGGGGGGGGCTCAAGTCACTCACTGCCCCTTCATGTTGCAGGTCTACCTTAGCAGCAGAAGCCAGAAGCTGCACTTCGCGAAAGTGCCTCCCAGCTGGTCGGGAATGCGTCCCTGGCAATGACTGAAATCCTGCAGCGGATGGGTAACTTTAGAGATCAAAAAGCAGAGAGAACAAAGGCAGCTCTCAGAGATGAAGGGGCTGCTTTGCCAACAGCACCAGCCCCTCTCCCTCTGCCGGTGCAGCCTCCCTGCCTGCGCTCCCTGTCAATAAATCCTCAGCCTTTGCAGTCCACAACTCTGCAGTGGAGCTGGTGCCTGCCAACTTGGACTCTCCCTATCCACAGCAGCTCACACCTTTCACCCTAAGACCCACCGCAAAATCCGTCCTTGGGACGGGGCGGGGGGGGGGGCCCCTTTTGTGCGGGCTTCTAACAAAGCCCTAAATGCATGCCCAGAAAAAAATAACAAAGAACAAACTTCTTCGTGCGAGTAGCTGTTTCTCATGTCCTGCGGGGCAGCACAGCATCCCTGTGCACGGCGCCTCCCACCCCTTTAGTCCATCCCGGAGCGAGGGGAGGAGAGCCTGGCCCTCTTTGGGAGGTGGAAAACTCAGCCCAAGCCTTTGCGTTGTGTCCTTGCCGTGTGTCTGTGTGAGCTGTTCCAGGCTGCCTCGATGCCCAGGAGATCAGAGGTGAACAAAGCATCTGTTGCTTACAGTGGTTTTAAAATATTTTCCATGAAGAGCCCATGCCTGACTTTGGGGGTCACAAACCTTCCCCCTCCCCCCCAACAATAACCAGACAAGCCCCAGCATGGGTCTTCTGTTCTTCCCAGGGCCAGTGCACTTCGTTCCTTAGCCAACACCACTTAAGTGTCCATCACCTCTCTCTTCACCAATACACCTTCCAAAGGAGACGAAGCCCTTATCAGCTTCTTTCTCTCTTTCCCTTCTCCCTTCCCCCTCTCCAAACCTCCCCAATTCCTTAGCATCTTTTGTTCACATTTGTTTCCAACAGCTCCCCATCCCCATCCCCCTCCACAACTGCAGCCTCCTGCAAACTCTCCACCTTGTTAATATTTCTTCCCCCTCCCTGCATCCTGAGCTCAGTGCATTCATTCATTGCCTGCCCGCATGCTGACCATGAATGTTATGCTGCACCATCTTCTCTCTGCATGTTTGCTTCATGTTTCATTACCCTCTCTGCCTTGCGAGATTCATCTCATTTGATCTGTTTTTCCCCTTATGCTTTGGAGAGATATATTCCTAAATGCTTTTCAAAGTCTTGCAAAGAGGTGAGTGAATGCATACTTCTGCCTTAGCTTCTGAATTCTCAAGTCCAGCCCTCTCATGTCCCTTTTTTTTTGTAACACTGCAACAGGCTCAACAAGAGCCCACACCAGATTAAAGCGGCTGGTTGCTGTCACAGTACATGGCCATGAAGATCCTGGAGCTTAGTGCATGAATATGCTTGCATAACAAAAAGCAGGGAGCCCAGAGCATGCTGGAGTTTTTTAGACTTGTTGGTATCTGACTGAATGAAGTGTTTTAAGGGCATTCATTCAGTCGGGGGCAAGGTCTACCTTCAGGCTACCTCTGCTTGTAAAAAGATGTTGCTGGAAGGACAGATATGAGGTGGAACTGTTTTATCCTTGCTGGACCCTTCGCTCAGGAGGGATTTTCCAAGAGGGGAAGACCTATCTAGAACTAGGTCTGATTAACTCCGTGGAAATCTTTTTTTAACAACTACAGCTTATGGATATGTCCTGCAGTGCATATATGCCTGATCGCTTTATAGTCCCAGGTACCTTTTCCTTCCCTGGCAGGATCTTTGTTTGGCTGGATGTCCAGGTGAAAAGTAGCCTGGTTTTTGCTCATGCCAGTCTGCGCGAGGAGGTGTGAAAAGCACAGCCTTATCAATGGAGGAAACATGTAAGTAGGTGTAGGACAGAAACAGGTATAATGCCATGCTCCCTTCCTGCAGACCATGTGGCAGGAAATGAGAGCTGCCAGCTGCAGGAAATGGTATAGAGCAAGGGTTGACAATCTATGCCCTATGGCCCAGATTTGGCCTGCAGAACTGTCAGAGCTAGCCCATCGAACCAGGGGCTTTGGCAGCATTCCAGTGGTGGGGGCTTCAGTGGCATTTGGCAGCTAGGGGCTTGGCTCTGCTATGGCCAGGGAGCTTCACCTGTGTCATGACCAAGCAGCGGGGGAAGCAGTGGCAGCAGAGGCTGGGTCCTAGTCTGGGCCGGCTTGGCCCTGCGCTGTCATTCCAGCCTGACACCAAAAGATGTTGCTGACCACTTGTGTAGGGGGGTTAAAAACTGGGTTTGGCTGGTGTGTGCGTGGTGTGTGTGTAGACTCTTTCACTGGTTATATATAGTAATATAAAATGATGTATGGAAAATTGCCTGGAGATGTGAGAAGTATTGTGGTTAAAGGAACATGGTAACCATTAGACCTGTGTGTTGAGGTACTTTGAGTGAATTATATGGGACAGCCCAAAAGTTAATTTGCAGAAACTAAATGTACCAGGGTCACTGAAGGAAAAAAGATGAAGTGAGGCAGAAAGTTGCCTGATAGAAGGCAGGAGGAAAGATCAAATCACTCTGAACTGGTCAGGCAAATGGGAATGAGAAACTACTCAAGCAGTGGAGCCCATTACCATGGATATCAGGAATGAGGATGTTCAATGTCCCCCACCCATTCTTTGCCTACAGGTATTGAATATGCACCTATACTAAGCAAGAACCTGCCCATTGTGGCTTGGTGCAGTCTTGCACCGAAACTGCACCAAGTTTCATACCAAAAGTATGAAACTTTTGACTCACTCACAGTTCCACAGATCCTTAGTATTTGTTGTTGAATAGGTGTTGACTGTAAACAGGCTCATTGGAGATGTTTGCAAGCTGACTCCAAAGACTGCTAAGGAGAGGTGAAGTACGAGTTGGGATTTCAAACCTAAGCCCAGTTTGGGGAGAGCATAGGCTTTGGGTACATGGCACATCATTAGGTGCTGTCAGTACTCTAGTTGTTGCACTTGAACCAAAGCATGGGTAAAGCCTAAAGAACAAAGAACAGAACTGAGGTCTAAAAGGAGAAAAGGACGGTTACTGATTTGATAATGAAGCTTGAGGACAGGCAAAGTACCTCCACTTGGTGCTTTGTGTCTGCCTCCCTGGCTGCAGACTGACTGCATTTACTTTAAGTTATCAAGGTTGTCTTCTGACCCAGAAGGGACAGAAAAAATGAAAGCTTAAATTCTAGGCAGTACAGCAAAATCCATGCAAAGAAGCTCATTCTGCAGTTCCATAAATACAGAGGATCAGTGTCATTGGTGCTATCTGCCTGAAGGGGCTATTTTTGTTCTTTATAAGCCTTTCCCTCTTTCCTAACAGACATTAGTTATGAATAATTATAATTATATGTATATATAGAGACAGAGCCAGCGAGAACGCACCTAAAATGTGAGAAACACCACAGGTAGACACCCAGAACTGATGCTTTACCCTAAAGTTCAATTCCTACTGTCTGGGTTCAATGCCTAGTTACCATCTTTTTTTTACAAAACTAGGAAAATAAAATCCAAAATGCATTTTCACTGATGCTCCCTCTTTTCAGACTAATGAGAGATTGGTGCAATCAGTATCCATGGTTAATGTAGGGTTAGAAACAACCCGTTTTTTCTGAGAGCATTAATACAGAGCATGAGTCAATTAAAATGTTCCTCTAAGCATGGGGAGGGCCATTTCACAATGTATCAGGCAGCATATGGTTTTATACCTTAGTTAGTGAGTACTGGGGATACATTTGCAAAGCTGTTGCACTGTTCTAAGTCAATCTGCATGTCGGAGCTTGTGTGACTGTCTTGCAGATGAGACAGAAAACTGGGGTCTTGATGACATGACTACTGGAGTTCCTGCAGCACTTTATCAAAAAAGGATCTTTACTATTCTTTCCGGGAGAAATGCTGACCTGAATAATTACATTATAATCATTTAAAATTATTCCCCCCTGGAATAGCTGTGTGAACTTTCGTGGCACTGTTAAACATCTGCTAATTCTGCCCTTGAGGTGGCTGCATTTCAGCAGTGGGCAGCATAATTCTTATATGGACAGGTGATACAGTTACTTATGTAAATAGGTATGTTGGGATCAGGCTGGATGAGAGATATTGTTGTTAAATATTAAGTAAGTCACATTATCCTAGGATAATTGCTTTATGGTTGTCTGCCATAGGAATTGGTTCATAGCTGCTTAAAGTCAATGAGAGTCTCTCCCTTGACATCAATAGACTTTGGCTCAGGCCCCTAGTGTAGAAATGAATATGCTATTTATTTTCTTAGTTGTTAAAAAAAATCTATTTGCATGATATTGGAGTTTCCTTAACTTATATCTGCTTATGAGACTATAACCCAGAACATGTCACTTACACTTTATAAAGTGTAAAAGGAAAAGGACATAGCTTCAATATTATCACTTAGTGCAGTATTTGTGAATCAAATTGTGGACACAGCCAAAGAGGATCTGTCTGGACCATCTACAAAATGAGCTTTGATATCCTTTTAGGAAGTAAAAAGCTGAAGGGGGACGTAAATAATTTATCAGGACAGGGATTACAGTCTCTGGTTGCTTGTGATTTGCTGCCTTTTTGGAGCAAAAGAGGACAAAGACAGTATTCCCTCTTAGTTTGCAAAGTTTCTATTTTCTAATGGGGTGGCAATGATAAGGGATGCATTGCTGATAAGGGATTTTCCAACCCCAACATTAACTATTCTGAATGGTGAGGAGCTTTATAGTTTAAAGAATAGGGAAAGGCATAAGATCATTGGGTTGTGCACTAACGGTTTTTCAATGACCTGTGTAAAATGAACTTGGAGATTTCAGCTGGGTTGACAGGCAACAAGGTATCTTCCTTGCAAAAGACAGTGACTACAAGTTTTTTGGCTTAGAATTTAATCGTGATTGTAATAAGACACACTATATCTGAGACTTTGAGTGACCGGGCAGCCATTGCCCAGGGAGAACTAAGGTCCATAATGATACTTTCCCTGTCCATTCTGGAGGGTGTTGAATGCCCTCTTTTATCACTTCCAGCATCTGCATTTCTCTTTCCTTTTATCTTTCCCTCTTTACTGGTCATAGAAACTCTACCTTCTCTTTCACCCTGCCATCCCTCTCTCCTTCCCTCATCACCCCCTGCAC